GCAGGGAACGCGATGCGGGGCTCGATTCCAGGACCCTGGGATCATGACCTGAGCCGAAGGCAGACGCTTAATGACTGAGCCACCCAGGCGCCCCGGAAAATATTGATTCTATATCCCTCTGTGTTCTACGCCATGTTGTCAGTGCTGGGGATACATTCATTAACCAGGCAGATGAAAATGTCTACCTTTATGGAGTTGGGAACAGTTGGGAAGGAAGACAATAAGCAGGACAAATAAGTACAATGAACAGGATTGTAAACGATGACGAGTGCTCTGGTGAAAAACAAAACACAGCAAGAAAGGAGCATGATGCAGGGTTGGTGCATCGTAGATGAGAAGGACAGGTGCGACTCTCTCCGGGTTAAGACTTGAAATGGGAAGGAAGTGAGCCCTGGCCCTATCCAGGGGAAAGAGGGTTCTAGGCGGAAGGCAGCAGCATTTGTGAAAGTCCTGGGGCTAGATCATGCCTGGAGAGTCCAGAGAACCTCAGGAGAGCCGACAAGCAGGGGAACATCTGAGGAGGGAGAAGGGAAACAGAGCGTGTGGGTCCTCCAAGAAGGTTGCAAGAGCCTTGGCCGTACAAACGTTAGCTATTCATTATTATTGCCTGTAGGTAAAATGTTCCAGTGTGCATAAGGGCTCACATAAGAGCATTCTATAAACCCCTCAAAATTCTGTGCCCTTCTAAGAATGTTTTTAAAGATATCTTTCATTTCAACAAAATGGCAAGGCATCTAAGTGCAAAGGACAAAATTCTAGAATTCTCATGGCCAATCTGCTCCGTGGGTTCCTTTCTTGCGACAGCCACCCACTCTGCCTTGGAGCCCCACCCATGGGAGAGCAGAAAAAAGTCAATGCGGGTTTATTTTATTTCCTCTTCATTTCTACAATAGGAATCGCTTTTCTAAGCCGCCTGAGAATTTAAAGAACACCTACTTTTGTTGTGCTGTTGCTACACTAGTTTTGCCCTTACAAATTCCTAGAGACAATTCGTATTCATCCTGGAAACATGGAAATTGTATTTAGGTATAGCACTACTCTCTAATCACTGAGTAGATACAGGTTAATAATTTGTAAGATTTCGAACAGAAGTGTTGAAAACCCTTTTTACTATGTGTAAGTGCTTTCCATTTCAAATCTCACTTCATGCTATTTCAGCGGGACCCACCGTTGTTACTGGTAGGGAACACCCTTTTCCAATACAACCACAAACAATAATATTTCCAACTCAGGCTTACTTTCCTCTCAGTTGAACCTAAAAGAAAGAAGGAGAGGACTTCCATTTCAGTAATAGTCGTTGCTAACCTACAAATCAAAGCAAATCATTTTTATAAGTGAAAATTTTCACTTAGCAAAATGATTTTCAAATCCACTGTTCCTTCCGTTTTTAAAATATATTTTCCCCTATTAGAACATGTTTTAGTTCTTCTCTAAGTATAATAAAAGGAGGGCATGATATAATTGGAGCTGCTTCTTCTATTCTGTGTTTTGTCACCAAGGGTCCTCAATAAAATTCCCCAGAACCGGAAACATACAACTGTACACTAGTTAAAAAATTCTTCCTTTACCTCATGAATTCAGCAAGATTGTTTAGCTTATCCCCCCATTCCATGTATTTCGTGGGTTAAGAATAGACCCCTCCCACTGATCTGCCCTCATTAGCATGTCTGTCTTCTGTCTGCCTGTCTCTCACTCTGTGGACTCTCCCTCTCACTCTTTCACCCTCTCTGAAGACTGACTTTTCTGTGGCAAAGGGTGATATGATCTCTGCTGACCTAAGGGAAAATGGCTCCCAGAGGTTTGTGGTAATAAGGTCCTAAATTCAAGGCACATTCCTAGTTGGAAAGTCCCACTGTCCTCTGGTGACTTGAGGGGAACGTTCCTATGTTGGGGCGAGAATAGGTACTGAGAATCACTTCCTGATCTAGCACACACATTTTGGGGGTTCAGCACCCAGAGCACTGTTTAGTCCACATTCCCAGGAGAAGCCTCTCTCTCAAGCATGTTTCCACAGCCCAAATTTCACTTCCAGGGGGAGATGCCACCTTATTGTGTTCATTTCTTCACTTTTAGGACAAGGTTCAAATTGCCAAGTGACATGGGCAGACAGCTCCTGTTATCAGGGTCACATTTCTGAATCATCTCCCTGATTCCTTGGGGAAGAAAATTGATGAGAGCTAACCCTACTCCTGACTCCTTTTGCATTTCTTTGTTTTTCCATTCAATTTGTGGGAGGCTATGTAAGACTTTTAAAGACACCAGTGGCTTTTCCTCCTTTGAGCTGCTATGCCAGAAATCCTCAGAACAGAATATGTAACACTACATTATACACAAACTCTGGCCATGTCCTCAACTCTCCAAAAGGTTCTTATGTCTTACCCTTGTTGTTCTATTATGAAAACCAATAAGTAAATACACAGATGTGAGTATTGTCTTACTGGACTTTTGCAGACTGTGGGAAGTATCCCGCTTTTACATTTGGGAAATAATCTTCTTTCTTTGTGCATTTCTTTCAACTAAAATCCTGGTTTTGCTCTGGCAAGGTCCTCAAGTAAAATCCTGGTTTTGCTCTGGCAAGGTCCTCATTGGAAAAATAGAGAGGAAAAAAATTTGGGGCAGAAAAGTTGCAATTATAAATATCTCTTCAACTGCCCCTACCATGCTCCAATCAGCACACCAAGTATTTTTAGTTTACTGGGGGTGAAACGATGCTGTGTCAGGTGCAGCTTGCTGCCAAGGGTGCAAGATAGACATTTAATCTGCCCCATGCATATCCCCAGCTCCCATCAGTACTTATGGTGAGCAGAGTTGCTGTAAAACGATGTTGGAGACTTTCTGAAAGCAAATCTGGGACTGACTTGTAATGATGTCTCCACAGTCCTACGGAGGCTATGTTTCATCCCTGGCCCTTGCTTCAGGAACCGGTCTTTTCAAATGTGGGATAGCAGTGGCTCCTGTCTCCAGCTGGGAATATTACGGTATGGAAACATTTCATAACTGTGGCTGCGAAAACATTTAACACATAATTACTCTATATTTGAGGTTGCTAGGAAAACAAATTATGCAGTAAAATTCACCCCAGCTTCACTGGGGAAAGCATAATCTAGAAGCGAGGTGGTTTATATGATGCATTGTAATCATGTTGCAACAATCAAAGAAATCTTAAGAGTGAGGGAGGACTCTTCCAAAACCCAATGTGTGTGATCCTTTCCCCGAAACCTGGTGCCTCCTGATACACCAAATCTTTAAAACCAGAGCCGAGACTGTGTTTTTGCAGGCACACGGGTGGCCTGTAAATACATCTTACACAAAGTCGAGCGGCGCCAAGCTATTCACCTCCAAGTCACAGTTTGCAGCCGCCAGGTCCATTGCTCCAGAAACCAGAGCCACAGAAAAATTTGTTAAGAAGTACACCTCCTGTGGGTGCCTATTTTTATGATTCACATTAATGCAGGATGATTATTTGGAATTAACTCTAATAATTGCACAAAAATTAGCTTTCATCAGATCCTCGTCCCTGTGTTGGGGTAGAAATGAGACAACTATAACTCTCAGGCAATCTTTATTCAGAAAAAAAATGTGTGTGTGTGTGTGTGTGTGTGTGTTGGGAGACGAGAATCAGGGGCACATAGTTCCATCCCAGATTAATTAAGACACCAATAAAAGTACAAGAGGTGGCTGCATTTGTGATTTTTTTTTTAAATACAATGAAGTCATTCCATAAGGTCTTCCCTAGCTAAACATTTCCCCCACCAAAGGGTGGAAGAGAAAAAGCTTAAGATCAGTCCTTTCTAATGTTAGCTGTGCCTGTCTCCTCCTTTGCTTCTCTAGCCCTGTTGAGGCAAATTGCAGAGCAAATGACTTGGGTGGAGCATTACAGTAAAGGCAAGCAGGAACCTTCCTCAGCAGCTCCACGGGGGAAGGTGACGAGCAGTTCTCAAACTGGGGAGTCTTGTTGGTTAATGGAATGACCCGTATCACATGTAAACAACATATTCTCATATATTTTATAGCATCTATCTACACAGAGCGCTTCATGGGCCTCCCAACAAAGAACGATAACCTCAAGCACTATAAAGTAAGCGTTTTCTGTTTCATTTAGGTCATTGACTTCTTGCAAACGCGCTAAATAATTTTGAAGCAGTCATTCAGAGTTTATACTTTTGCTGGCTCCCCAAGGAAATACGCTGATCTTTTGTTAGCTGCAAAACATCTCACTAGGAAGACATTTACTCTCTTAGGATTCTCTTCTTTCTTTCCCCATCCTCCCTTCCCTCACCTCCCTTTTCCCCATCCTCCTGCCCACCCCCAACCCCTACACAGCTTGAGCGGGCATCATTTATGCCTAAGGTCTCACTCATATGTAACATATGACACATAAACTTCCCGTTTTTCAAACGAAGAATCAGATGGAAGTAATGCAAATGATGATGAAAATGTGTTGCTCTGACTCTTAAATATTTATCAACCAAAGCAATACATAATTTCAGTATTGGTGCTAAGTCCATCGCACAATGATTTAGCTAGTTTTCTATTAGAACTTGCAGCAACTAAAATGTTAATTTTTCCTCTTTTCCAGAATTCAACTGTGATGGCAAGAGCAGAATATTTCAGAAATGTAGACTATCTTCTCATCCACGGAACAGCAGATGGTGAGGTTTAAGCAAGACTCTTACACATAAAAATACTGAGCCAACATCACTTTGTTTAAGAAACATTAAGCATCCTCCTATGCCTGTGCTCGGGGTCAGTACCTAAGAGTCAGGGACATTTCCACAAATGAGTGCGATGACTCACTGCTGACAATGTCAACCGCATGACTAGATAATTGTCGGTGTTCATTTGCAGGCAGTACATTGTCACTCGATGCTTTCTGGTATTTAGCAGCACTTTAACTCTCTCTCTTTGTTGCAGATAATGTGCACTTTCAAAACTCAGCACAGATTGCTAAAGCTCTGGTTAATGCACAAGTGGATTTCCAGGCAATGGTACATAATTTCGTTTTACTCCTGTTCACGGCCTTAGACCTGTAAGCTCAAAGGAGGAATCTGGTTTTTTCATTATTATTATTTTTATTATTATTATTTTTACAAAAACCTGGCAAACAGGCTGTAGGGTAGAGTAGGCAGAACATTAGCAAGTGGGTCTTGGATCTTTCATGAACTCCCTGAAGGACACGAGGCGAGCCATGTCACCTCTGGGGATCCTGGTTGAGTTCTATCTGAAATAAAGGCATTCATGAGATTGATGATCTTCTAGCTCGAACATCCAATAGTTCTGTGATCCTGCTTATATAATGTAACTGCATGCTTAGCGTCCCCACAAAAGCTGGGAGTCCCAAAGCAGCTAAAAGCTTCCGTGTATTCAGTAAGGAGCGATTGGGGAATGTTATCCACGGCCACAGAGGCTCCCTGAAGTCAGGCGGCCCCACTCAGAGTTAGAGAACCCTTTCATCCGTGTGTTCTCGGTGTCTGACACAAGCCTGGCCCAGCACAGAAGCTGGAGTGCTCCCCAAACGAATGAATGAATGAGCTAGCCGGAGAGTCCGGGTGCATGGCACGAGGACTCGGAAAGGACAACAGAGAGAAAAGGAAGGTGAAAACCACGGCAGGAGGGACAACCCCTGACAGCAGTTTCCCCTCCTCAGGGAGCGGAAGTTCTCCCTAACTTGCTTTTCCTGAATGAGAACCTCGAAAAGGAAACCCCCATTTTTGGAAATTGGGCTTTTTAAAATAATTTGCAAAAGGGGATGGGAGATTTTTCTGATCTTTTTTTATCGTGACCCCCCCCCCAACGTAAATTCACCTTCTAAGTGTATAGCATTCCAGCAGGACCACTATCCACCTTTATTCAGTGAAAACAAGAATCTCGCCAGCATTTCTCCAAGAATGGAGTTTAAATGTATAATGTCATCTTCCTGGGTGACTTTAATGATACTATGTTTAACTCCTATGAAAGGTGTTTACAGTTATATGTGTTGTGGATTTTCTGCAGCAGAGAGGAATTGGATTTCAGAGGCTACAAGCCTCATACAATTTTTGAGCTAGCAGGAGCCTTAGAGAAAATCAAATCCAACCTCCTCATTTTTTCAAATGAGGAAACCAAGCTCCAGAGGAGCAAAGTAATAGACCCAGCACACCAGCTCTGGAGCACGTACCTGCTTCCTGACCCCCCAGGATGCTAGCCATTGTGAAAGCTCAGCCACCAGGATCTAAAACATAAGCTTAAAAAATATAAATAAATAAAAATAAAAAAATAAAATAAAATATAAGCTTAAAGAATGGGAAAGAATAGTCCAGGTTAATAAAAGGCCTTTTTTGTCTTCCTGTTCTAAATGTCTGCATGTGAGCTATCTTATTAAGTGCTCTGAAGTAGAATTTCAATCACAATGTTAGAAAAATTGTTGGGACCAGCAAGCATTAGAAAGTCTAAGCTGGGTGCCTTGTGCGGCTGTGAGAGTGACTCCGGCGTCTGCTCTCTGCCTTGCAGTGGTACTCGGACCAGAACCATGGCATATCCGGCCTGTCCACGAAGCACCTGTACACCCACATGACCCACTTCCTAAAGCAGTGTTTTTCTTTGTCCGACTAAAAAGGACGCAGACGCAAGCTTGTATCACAGTGGGAACACTTCGTATAAATGCCTCAGACCATTTGCTTGTTTTACTCTTTATGCTGTTAAATGCTGGTACAAACAAACAAATGAATGATGTTCTAAAGGCTGGCGGAAGATTGACTCAGAAGTTCAACCCAAATATTGTTTACATTTTCTGTCACTCTCTGAAAGAAAAGGGAACCATGCCTTTTGCTTTGGACACAGACAGTGTTTTATTACCTGTTCATTTGAGGAAAATAATAAAGTCAGAAGTTAAAGTGCTGTTATTTTGTCTGTGTGCATTTATTTCAACTTCCGGTTTTATCACAGAAAATAAACGCTTGTGCTAGGCAAGCCCATGAGTCACGTTAGGTGGGGATGGAGGAGAAGAATCTAGAAGAGTTTGGATTTTTGTAATTAGGATTCCAAATGCTGGAATGAATAGCTCAGAGTACGCAAAAGCATTGTTCAGAAATCAAGTTTGAGGTGCATTTTGTAGAGGCGTCCTGATGTTTGCACTCTATGCTGGACCTCCAAGAAATGCTTATGAAATTTCTCCCAGATTTCTTCAATGTAGCCAAAAACATTCAACAAGGATAAAATCAGAATTTTGAATTCAGGCTCCTTTTAATAAATGCTTCAAATTTAGAAACATTCCTATTTTGTATCCCTTTCAAGAATTAGCAATGGTAACTGCCTTCAGCTTGCTAAGCCACACCAAACTAAGCAAGCAAAACAATTAAATAAAAAGGACATCCACAGCTAGAAAGGGAAAATGTTGTATCTATGAGATTTTTCTGGGGTTTGAGTTTGACATTACTGAGCTCATTTTGAAAAAGAAAAAAAAAAAGCCATAATGCTTGCAACCCCGAAGGTGATGCTCTGACAGTAAGGGTCCCCATCAATTAGAAACTTATGGGCAGCTTCCATCTCTGTAACTGCCACAGAATTAAAAAGGCCCACGTCACCAGAAGATATTTCTTAAATGAATGTTGGAAGTATCCATGAAGCCTCTCGCTAGGGGACTTTTCATTGATGTGTTTCCTGGCCCCAGGTGGCTCTGGACGATTTCTTCCCATCCCTAGCTTGATCCTTCCTAGTTGCAGCTAGAAGACCCTCATGCCTTCTCTCATGCTCTATAGCCAGAAGAACACATCCAGGCATGCAGTGTTATAGCCGGAAGGGGCCTCTAAGATCAGAGACCACAGCCTCCTCTAGAATTGTCAGACATTTCTCTGTCCAATGCTCTCTCCACTACTGCTTTCTGAAATCATGCCTCCCACTCACGCCACATGGCCCCACCGCACCTGTCAAGAAGAGGTGCTCTGTCAGGAAGTTTGGGCAGCACCCACACAGATTCAGGGCTGGCCATAGCCCCCCCCCCCCACATCTATGCAACTGCCGATGTCCTGCGGGGCAGAGAGAAGCTATTCCTTTCCCATTTTGTTTTGCCTGGAGCAGCCTCAGAAGCAAGTCCAGAACATGTCCTCATAATATTCTCATCCACTCTCTCCAGCTGGGGAGAGGAGAATAAGCAACAGTTCTTTCTTAATCCTCTATCAAGTGGTACAGCAGGGCAAGTGCAAATAATAAGAAAATCTTGTTCCTTCAGTGTCTTTTCTGCCTTTGTGGAATTCTGCAAAGCTGTTGTTTAATATCAACATGCAATAAGAGGTCTCCAGCCTCACGCCTCTGGTTCTCACTGCTGCAGAGGCAACTTCTAAAAGACAAATCGAAATGTTCCCTTATTCCAGGTGAAAAACTCCAGTCTTCTCCACGGTCTACAAAATAATATTGTAGATGTTAGATGTAGAACATTCCCATCATCACAGACAGTGCTATTGGATGGTGCTGTCCTAGCAATCTTCACAGACCATATCTTGGAACATGGCATATGGTAGAAGCTCAGCGATTGATAAATGAGTGAATGCATCTGTGTTTGTGGAAGATTCATTTTTCTACATTACTGTTGCTAAAGCCTCCCCTGACCTCCTGAGGCAGAGTCATCCAGGTGCTCCTCAGACATTCAGCATGTGTTTATGTATTTATTCGTTCATTCAACAAGTATTTGTTGAGTCTGTCTGTATAGCAGACACTGTGCAAGACTTTAAGGATATAGTGAAGAGCAAGGCAGCAACTTGAGAGGCAGTTTTTTTTTTTAATGTTTGCATTTTGTACCGCTTTACTAGATTCTTCTTTTGGCGTGGAGGATAAAAGATACATAAATTACAAAAGGGAAATATTTAATAGAAAAATGCCAAACCAAAAGGGATGATTAAAAACATCTGACCTTTTCTATTTGTAGGAAGCATATTGTAACAATAACTATCCTTTAACTGCATTTTATTTTTGCATATGAGATTTGGGGAGGAGGGTGTCCCAGCACCCTAATTAATCATGCTTCATTTATCACAAACTTGAGATTTTCATTTGTCCATTGGACAAATGTAAGCCACTGTTTTAGGTACTAGAGGGTGACCTTCCACCTCCCCAAAATGCATGTATATTAAACAAAATACATGTCTACAGGCAAAACTTGAAGTCTTGTAGAGGTGAAAAATGAATGTAACTACAATACAAATTCAAATGACACCAGTCATATAGGGGTGGGATTCTAATATGGGTAAGAGGGAAACCGTGAAAAATTTTATCATCTCAAAATAATCTCCAATGTTAGTCCTGCAATGCTAACCTTAGAGCTATTTTAAGTGGTTTCAAAATTCTAAGTGACCATCTCCTATATCCTAACGTGAATAAGAAAGAAGTAGTAAGAAAATGGGTATTTTGTGAAATTTAACATAAATGAAGGAACTTGTATTGAGGCTTTAAAAAAAAATTTGAAGTCTGCCCCAAAGCCTAAAATGTATGAATTATTTCCTTCAAGAAACATTTTCTGAATACCTATACTGCGCCTGGCAGTACTCTGGGTCCTGCGGGAGACAAGAGTCTTACAAAGATGAATGTATGTACAATTTCTCCATTTCTAGACTGTTTCAGTAAAGGCGACTTAACGAATCTGATTTTCCCAACATTTGAGCATTTTTCAGAAACTGACAGATCTTTATGCAAATGTTGTTGCCAAGCTGTTTGTAATGGTGAAATTATACTTTGACAGTAACTCTTTAAAATATATTAAACCCAGCTAAGGTTTTTTTGGAAATGTTGCCAATTAAGTGACTTTAATGAGCTTCTTGATGGTAATGTAATTAAAATTCAGATGTTCTAATTGTAAAAAAAAAAAATTACAGTTCTGGGAAAGTTAACAGTAAAATAAGCAAATGTAAAATGAATTAGGACTAATTTAAATGGTGATTATGTGGTCTTCTGAGAAGATTTTACCAAAACAATGTTTTCAATTATGCTGTTTGTAAAGAAGAAAGAAGACACCTAACAGATATTTTAAATTTATCCAATAAAGCAGATATTTTGAGTTTATCCAATAAAACAGATTTAAAAATTCTGAACTTGGTGAATCATTCTCAGCTTGTGAGACAACTGCTAAAACAACTCCCTTGGCATTATGGACAGGTACCTTGGCAATTTGAAGTGGAATGATTTCTAACTCAGGGAAAAATAAGTGCTTGGACCTTACCAAGCTATTCATGGGGAAAACGATCTGGCTTCTAGCAAAATCTCTAATGACCACCTGCTCAGAATAGTGGCATGTAATACTAACCTGCCGGTCATAAACTCTTCTTTTTGACACACAGGTAATATCTTTGGCAGGCTAGCACAGTATAATTTCACTCTCTTGGCCTCTAATTATATTCCATTACTTACTGTACTTATTTAAAAAAAATCGCTTTGACAGAATGTGTTTTAACAAGTATTTGTTGGTACAGCATTAGATCCCTCAGACTGTGGTTATACAGAATCTATATCCTGTGAATAAGAGAGAGCAAAAATGAACCAAAGGGCATGACGCCATGGTTTGACAACTCATCTCCCTTCTTTCTTAAGTACTGTCCATTGGCAAGCAAAAACAGGAGCATCTTTGCTAGCCATTAATTATTGGGGGCAGGAATTTTTCTCACTGTTCCAGGGGCTGAAGTTTTGAGATATATGTCTTTTTTTTTTAAAGATTTTATTTATTTATTTGAGAGAGAGAGAATGAGAGAGAGCACGAGAGGGAAGAGGGTCAGAGGGAGAAGCAGACTCCCCGCCGAGCAGGGAGCCTGATGCGGGACTCGATCCCAGAACTCCAGGATCATGACCTGAGCCGAAGGCAGTCACCCAACCAACTGAGCCACCCAGGCGCCCCCGAGATATATGTCTTAACGAAACATTTAAGATTTAAGAAAGATCATTCATATGTTAAGAACTACCATCCATTCACACATACTGTTTGTTATTGAGACATCCTTTCTAATATTCATGGACATAATAGAAATATTAAAGATGTCATAAAATGTGTTTATATCACACCAGCACTAAGCTGAATTTCCGGCTTTGAGAAATGATAAAAAGTAATGATGCTTTAATATATACAAGCATGTTGTATAAACAAAAGAAACAATGCTACTGTCTGAAGACTGAAGTAATATTTTGCAATATTACAAATTCCTTCCTACTGAATAAAAGACAAGATAGTTCATATGCCAATTCTTTTAAATATAATATGTTCATTGTTACTCATTTTAGAGATAGTGGGCTTTGATAGGTAAGGGCACAGATCCAAAAGTACACTACTTGGTTTGAATCCCAACTCAGGAACATATTAGCTGTGTAGTGTTGCTCAGCCATTATAAGTTCTTCCTGCTTGAGCTTCCTTATATATGAAGCTGAGGATAATAATAGGCCCTATCCCATAGGGTTGTTTGGAGGTCTAAGTTAGTTGCTATTCATAGAGCTAACAGTGTCTGACATATAGTAAGCATTTTGTTAAGAGTTTGCTAGATACATAAGGTAAACCCCTTTTTAGTTGGCATTTTCATTCATTTTCAAGGAATTAATAGTCTGATGTTTATTGCAGCATTATTGACAATAGCCAAATTATAGAAGCAGCCCAAGTATTCACTGATAGATAAACGGATAAAGAAGATGTGGTATGTGTAATGGAATATTACTCATCCGTAAAAGAAGAATGAAATCTTGCCATTTGCAACAACATGGATGGGTCTAAAGGGAATAATCCTAAGTGAAGTAAGTCAGTCGGAGAAAGACAAATACCATATGATTTCACTCATATGTGGAATTTAAGAAACAAAACAAAGGAACAAAGGAAAAAGAGATGAACCAAAAAACAGACTCTTAACTATAGAGAACACACTGATGGTTACCAGT